ATGAAGTCACAGCTCACAGCAACCTCCAACTCCTTGGGCTTAGGTGATTCTCTTGCCTCGGCCTCCCAAGTAGCTGGGACTACAGGCACCCGCCACAACGCCTGGCTACTTTTTTGTTACAGTTAGGCTGGAGCTGGGTTTGAACCCATCACCCTCGGTATATGGGGCCAGCGCCCTACTCACTGAGCCACAGGCACCACCCTTGGAATTTTTTATATCTTGTGAGACGGGGCTTTTTGTTCTGTCACCCAGACTGGAGTGCAGTGGTGTGATCACAGCTCACTGCAACCTCTAACTTCCAGGCTCAAGCCATCCTCTTATCTCGGCCTCCTCACCTGCTGGGACTACATGTGCATGCCACCATGTCTGGCTAATTTATTATATAAACAGAATCTCACTGTATTGTTCGGGCTGGTCTCAAAGTTCTGGCCTCAAGTGATCCTCCTTTGTTGGCCTCCCAAAGTGCTACGATTACAGAAATAAACTGCTGCCTGGCTCGAAGTTGTTGATAATGCAAATCCTTAGGCTCCACACCAGACCTACACGACCAGAAACTAGGGGGTGGGGCCCAGGGGCTCAGGGGCCCAGGTCTCAACAGCCTTCCAGGGAACTATGAGGCTGCTCAAGTTTGAGAACCATTGGCCTAAAGCAACTTTTATGAATGTGTATGGGGAGATGTATTATGGAAATGTTTTTAATAAAAAAGAAAACTGGAAACAGACACCTATCAACACAATGATGAATAAGTCATACCCTATTTATTCAATGGAAATATATTCAGGAATGGAAATCAAGTCAGAGCTGAACGTATCAGTATGGATGATTATCAACATACACTCACCCACAGGTGCGCTTTTGCCTTCTAATGTCCTTGTTCATTTTATCATTAGCCCAAACATCACCCCATACACTTCCCAACTCTCAGGTCCATCCTGGAACAGCCCAAAGCTGAGCACAGGGCCTGAACTCCCAGCTCGGAAGAGTTCCACAGGAAGCTGAAATCTACTTGTTGGAATATAGAGCAGGAAGCACAAGTACTGACTAGGCAAATATCTCCACGGTGAAATATTAGTAACTGCATTGTCAGGATACCCTGACACTTGGCAGTAAAATGAAAGTAATAAAAGTGCTTTTCTTATTGGAAGGCCACGGCAGGTGGATTGCCTGAGCTCATGGGTTCAAGACCAGCCTGAGCCAGAGCAAGACTTATCTCTAAAAATAGCAGGGCATTGTGGCAGGCACCTGTAGTCTCAGCTACTTGGGAAGCAGAGGCCGAAGAATCACTTGAACCCAGGAGTCCGAGGTTGCTGTGAGCTACGACATGACAGCACTCTACTAAGGATGACAAAGTGAGACTTTGTCTCAAAACAAACAAACAAACAAAAAAACGGGAATCATGTCAGATGGAAGGTCTCCAGAAGTACCTAATTAGATCCCGACAGCACACAGAACTCTGTGGCTCATGCCCTCTGGCCCTGCCTTCAGCCCTCCTCATGCCTCCCAGGCTCCCTGCTCTGTGGGGTCACCCACTCTTACCACTATCCAATAGGCACAGATATCCTTTCACTCTGATAATTTTCTGGATAAAACTTTCCATGGCCTTGTGATAATTAAAAAATGATGCTTTTGAAAGTAAGAAAAATTCCAACTGCTATTTCTGATTTAGTGGGATGAGTCCAAAATATCACGTTCACTGTAGAGAATTTTTATTTTGATTGATTCTTCTAAATTAAACTTCCCCATATTAATCCTTGGAGATGAAGATGCCTCCTTAAGAAAGGGCAGCATGACTTGTCAGGCTGGGGCATCTAAAGATGGCTCTGCACAGCCCTGTGGAGAGATGCCTGATTACTGCATGTGGATGTCTTTTCAGCACTAGCTCCAATTTTGTTCTTCAATGCTTTCAAAGCCATCTACATTAGCAACATGTGCCTGACTCCATTTTTTTACCTTAAAAAAAAAGAGCCTGATACTTTCCTGAAACTGAAAGAAAATTATTCTTGAGATACTTAAAACCATGAAAATATCACTGACCTCTATCTGGCAAGGATTTACTGAGGGCATTCTCTTTCGCAGCTATGGAGGCTCCTGCAGTAAGAGCCCAGTCCCTATCAATAGAAACAGCACCTCAGAACGGGGCCCACTCCTCCACCTCACCCTGCACGCAGTGTCTGTTCAGGGTCTCCCTGAGACAGTTGGGAGCTTCATATATTTTTTTTTTTTTTAGAGACGGCGTCTCACTTTGTCACCCTTGGTAGAGTGCTGTTGTGTCACAGCTCACAGCAACCTCTAGCTCTTCGGCTTAGGTGATTCTCTTGCCTCAGCCTCCCGAGTAGCTGGGACTACAGGTGCCTGCCACAATGCCTGGCTATTTTTGGTTGCAGTTTGGCCGGGGCCGGGTTCGAACCCGCCACCCTTGGTATATGGGGCCGGCACCCTACTCACTGAGCCACAGGCGCTGCCTGAGGGAGCTTCTTAAGGGGCACTTTCGTTTCCTCTTTTCGCTTCCCTGGAGCCTAAAAGAGCAGCACACCAGCAGGCGCTAAACCGAGCAATGCTGGAGTCAGACTGCTTAGCAGCCAGCCTGTCTATGACTGTGCTTGTCATTGCGTGTCCTGCTGACATGAGACACTGCTGCAACCCCAACATGGAGAGGGGGCCTTTGAGAGATAATCAAGATTAAATAAGGTCATGGCCCCATGATGAGATGAGCCCTCCTAGAGACACCAAAGAGCTTCTCCCGCTGCCCCCCGACCCCCTGCAGCCTTGCGCGCACCCAGGGAGAAGGCAGCTGTCTCTGAGAAAGCCCTTACCAGAAGCCCACCAGGCTGACACCCTGATTCTCAGACCTCAGGCCTCTAGAACCTCTGTCAAAGTCAACCAGTCTCTGTGCTTTGTTATGGCAGCCCGAAGTGAGAGTGTCCATCTCAGCTCCTGCCCATGACAGGACAAAAATCCCTGAGGCAAACCCTCTTCCTCCGGAGCCTGGATACTGCACGACTCTGAGGAACCCCAGTCTGACCTTTCTAGATGAGCACAGACTCTGAATCAATGGGGTATGGAAAGGAGAAGGCCGACTCCGTAGATAAAGCTGTTACACTTCACATCTGCACTATCTGCCGGAAGACAAAGAAGCTTTATTCGCGTCATTGATTATCCGCATCCGCCAGTACGTTCGGAGGCATTCAGATATACTGCTATTAATCTTTTTTGTACATTATTTTCTTTCCTCATGCTTCGATTTCTTTAACCTCTCCTGGGAGAGGACACAGAATTGGATGACAAGGAAGTAACAGAGCTAAGCTGGGTGGACGGGATGGGAATGCAGGTAGAGAGAACAAGAAAGGCCAGAGCCAGGGAAGGATGAAGGCTGAAGGCTGAGTACCAACAGGCTTGGGGGCTGAGGAGGTGTCTGGGAGGTAGTGAGACTCCTTGGACAAGGCTCTATACTTCCTGGGGCAACGGGAGAGGCTAGGTTCTGCCCACGTTAGCTCAGCACCGGGGGAGGGAGAATTTCACTGTCCCTTCTGAGGTGCCCAGTTCTTCTGAAGCAAAGGCTAGAGGAAGGAGTCCAGAGTCTTGATTTCTTCCCTAATCAGTCTATTCCTTACAGCATATTTAGAGAGGTAGAGATTCTAAATCACTGAGAATTAATTAAATTATTTTCCAAACAAGTCCAAGACACAGTAAGTGTATTCTTTATTTTTACTTTTATTTCTTTTTGAGACCAAGTCTCACTCTATTGCCCCAGGCTAGAGTGCCCTGGCATCCTAGCTCACAGCAGCCTCAAACCCCTAGGCTCAAGAGATCCTCTTGTCTCAGCCTCCCTAGTAGTGGGGACTACAGATGCCCACTACAATGCCTGGCCAGTTTTAAGTAGGGACAGGTGTCGCTGTGGCTCAGGCTGGTCTCAAACTCCTGAGCTCAAGCCATCCTCCGGCCTCAGCCTTCCAGAGTGCTAAGATTACAGGTGTGAGCCACTGTGCCCAGCCTTTTACTTATTTTATTTTAGAGACAGAGGCTTACTCTGTTGCCTTCAGTAGAATGCTGTGGTGTCACAGCTCACAGCAATCTCTAACTCTTGGGCTTAAGCAATTTTCTTGCCTCAACTTCCCAAGAAGCTGGGACTATAGGTGCCCACCACAAAGCCTGGCTATTTTTGTTGCAGCTGCCACTGTAGTTTTAGCTGGCCGGGGCTGGATTCAAACCCGCCACCCTCAGCATATGGGGCTAGCACCCTACCCACTGAGCCACAGGTGCTACCCAGATCAATATAATTTAAGTGTGCTGTGGAAGTTTAACTATAGAAGTGTGCCATGAGATAAAAAAGGTTGAAAAATACTGATCTAAATTAAATGTTCAAGTAGTAAAGCAGGTTAAACACATAAGGATGTATCATGACAACGAAGACACAGCCTTTAAAACATACCCTTTCAAAGAATTTTTAATAATGAGAAAGAGCCCTATACAATAGTAAGAATAGTTAGATACAAAGCGATCCAACAGCCTTGGCCTCCCAGAGTGCTGGGATTACAGGCGTGAGCCACCATGCCCAACCTCTTTTACTTTAAAAAAAAAATTCCCAAATTTCCAAAAAAAAAAATTGTGTGTAACCTCTAAAAGTATTTAAAAAAAAAAAAAAAGCCTAGATCAGCATCCCTCAACCTTTCTGGCAGGGAAGACAATTTTTCCACAAATAAGGGGATGATGGGACAGGAGGCAGAGCTTAGGCGGTGATGCTGTGCAGCCCAGTTCTAATAGGCCACACACTAGTACGGGTCTGCAGCCCTGGGGTTGGGACCACAGCCCTGTGTTGACAGGAAAGCAAAACAAGGGCAAGGCAGAGAGGGACTGATGCATCCCCTTACACTGCCGGGCTCCACCAATGAAACGGGACTCCTGAGACTTCACCCCACAAGCTCTCTGTGGGGAGGCCCCTGCCCAGTACCACCCCCCACACTGGGCGAGTCCCTGCTGCTAGCAGCCCTGCCCCAGCTCACCTCGCCTCTCAGCAATCTGCAGGTACCCTGTGGACAGGTACTGCTCCATGTCCTGCTGGAAGGCCTCCTCAAAGAACTTCTGCCGCTCCTTCAGCTTCATCTGCTGTGTGTGCTCCATCTCCAGGACCTTCTGGGTATGCTCTGCGTCGAGTTCAGCTGAGGAAACAGTACCTGGAGTTAGGGTCTGCAAAGGGACGGAGATAGGAAATGGGCAGCAACAGCGGCTCACATCCACCCTGCACGCAGACAGTGTTGTATGGCTTTGACAGACTTGCCAGGCTATTGTTCCAGCTGCACATACAATGGTGTGCTCCCCCCACCCAACCGCAAATCTGCGCTCCCTGTGCAGTCAGACCCTTTGTCCCACACCTCCACAGGAATGACCTTCCCACACACATCCATCATTCACCAATGGCAAACAGCTGTTCACCCGGCAGGACCAGCTTCTCAGTCCCTAATCTAACTCAAGTGCTCCATCCTGATGCTACCACGTCCCTGTGTGTGAACTTGTGTAGGTAACTGGTAAGTTACAGCACCACAGCTAAAGACTTGGGGTTCCTGCAGTACTGTGATTGTATATTATTCATTTTAAACCCTGTCACCCAGCTCAGAGCATGGCATACAGTAAGCACCCAAGAAATGTTTGAGGCCAGTGAGGCAGCTCACAACTGTAATCCTAGCACTCCGGGAGGCTGATTTGAGACCAGCCTGAGCAAGAGTTGAGACTCACTACTAAAAACAGAAAAATCAGCCAGGTGTTGTGGCGGATGCCTGCAGTCCCAGCTACTCAGGAAGCTAAAGCAAGAAGATCCCTTGAGCCCAAAAGTCTGAGGTTATGGTGAGCTACGACGCCACAGCTCTCTACCCAGGGCAACAGAGTGAGACTCTGTCTTAAAGAAAAAAAAAAAAAGAAAGAAAGAAAAGAAATGTTTGTTAAGGATGTGTAATAGAATATTATTCAGCCTTTAAAAGGAAGGAAACGCTGTCACATGATACAACAGGGATGAATCTTGAGGACATTATGCTAAAGGAAATACATCAGTCACAAAAGAGAACTACTGCGTGATCCACTCATAGGAGGTCCCTGAGGCAGTCAAATTCAGAGACAGAGCAGAGCGGTGGTTGCCAGGGGCTGGAAGGAAGGGGCAGGAGGAGTCCTTGTTTAGTGAGACTAGAGCAGGCGTCCTCAGACTAAGGCCCGCGGGCCACATGCAGCCCGCCTAGGATATTTATCTGGCCCGCTGGGGGTTTTTGCCGCTGCCGCCTGTCCTGCTTAGCAGCCAACTCCTCCCAGGGCCCGCAGTCCGGCCCTGCAACGGTCTGAGGGACAGTGAACTGGCCCCCTGTTTAAATGTTTGAGGACCCACGGACTAGAGTTTCAGCTTTAAAAGACGAAAAGAGTGGCTCGGCGCCTATAGCTCAACCGGCTAAGGCGCCAGCCAC